TATTTATTTCTTTCTTAAGTGCGTGCGTGTGTGAACAGTCCATCACTATTTACTTTCTGAGCTATTCTTTTGTTATACGCGATGATTTATTTTATTTCCTTGTTTTCTTTTTTTTTTTTTCGGTCGGTCCGATATTTTATTTGTGATAGACCTGTCTTACTGTTTGTCGTTTTTTTTAATCTATCTTTTCTTTTATTCTAGTTGATGCATGCATAAAGAAAAAATTATTTAAGTAAAAAGAAGAAAAACGATAAAACCGAAACATACACATACCGTTGTTTTTTAATTATAGATAGACAATAAACAACTAAAAAGAATTTTCTAATTTTTTTTTGTCATTTTTAGTTGATCAATTATATTTAACTTTTTGCTTTTCTTCAATAGACATTATGATAATTATTTCATATATGATCATCAAAATACATATATTTTAGAATGCGTTACGAAAAATCTTTATAAATGTAATGTGAAAACATTTTAAATTGACCAATCGCTTTTTTAACGAGAGCTAGTAGATTGTACGTTGTCGATCGTACTGATAACCATAAGAAATCGTTTTAGGTCTTTATATGCTGGTTATTATTCAGGCTAACAAACTTTTCGTCGAATAAATTTTTAATCGGTCCAGATTATAGAGCATATTGAATTGCCTGAAAAACAGTACATTTTTTTTTTGTTTGAAATCGTGTTTGTGTTCATAATATACAGCCATTGTAACGCATACAACAGATAGTACATATCAACATTTCACTGTGCAAATCTTCAAGATGATATTACTTCATTAAAAAAGCATATTTTGGATGATCATCAGGGAAATCAAATTATTTTAATAGTCGATCAGAAAAAATTTTAGATATTTATTACTCATCGTGTGTTGTACCATCATTAAAATTACTTGTCAAAAAATTTGACCAATTAATCATGAAAAATGAAGTCAATTTCATTTTAGCTGCAAACGATAAGGGAAATAGATTGATGTCATTCAATGACAATTTGTAAATATAATTCATATCGTACCTTTGATCATATAAACTATAAGTTCCTATATTTCAATATAAATCTACACAAATTTTAGAACAATTCAATTTTGACTAATATTAATTATCATTAGAGGTGTAAATCGATACATTGATCAACAACAGCAACTAGAAATTTCGGATAGATCGTGGAGCATCGGCTGAAGATTTTCAATCACTCTTTTTAGAATTTTCTTCGTTCTGAGAAATTTTGAAATAGGAAAAAACATTTTCAATAATTGATCCTAGATATCAAAAATTTTTCAACATCAAGTTTCTATATTTGGTATATCGACTGAACTCTTCAACACCTGTTTAATATAACCATGATAGCGAATGAAATATCTTTAAAATGTTTCGGACATCGGCAGCTGATGAATCCATCGATTTACACCTCTGGGTAATAGCACATAATCTAACTAGAACATTGAATTTGATGCTCGATAATCAGTAACACTGATATTAGATATAGTTTGGTAATTTCTATACATAAACAAATATATAAAGAATAGTAGACAGTGCAGTTTTATATCCAAAAAAATTATTGATAATTAAATGTCAAGTTATTTGCACGAATTTAAAAATCTTTTTAAAATCAATTTTTCTTCGGCACGTTGTATGAACGGTATCACTCTTAGGGAATTACTCGTTATACATATTTTCACTGTAACCATAACAAAATGCAGATACCATTATCATTTTAAGATTGGTATAAAAATGAAAAACATTTGTACAAAGTAAATAAATAGAAAATGTTCATTTAGATTTTGTCAAAAGAAAATAGTTATATACACAGATTGTATTCAAATTTTGAACAAGCATTCGTATTAATATGATTCTCTATCAAGTAGACAATATGCAATGGAATAAATATTGAAGACAAGAATTGTTTATCTCAGGTTACTTTAAGGAAAAGTGCCACATGACAAAAAAAAAAGACGGTAGAAATAGAATTACATTTTTTCTTTCCCATCCAGTAGAATTATCGGTTAACAAACTTGTTGTAATTTCGAATCTATCCGAACTAGCACATATTTGAAACAAAGCTTGATCATAAACGTCTGATATTATTTATAATAAAAGAAATCAATAATAAATTGCAATGAAAAGTTTATCGTAAAAATATACTATTCCATCAATAATTTAATATTAAAAGTCATAATGTTATAGAGAAGAGATTCACTAAATTTTATTGTTTTGTCGAGTAATTACATGAAAAATTGAAAACAAGAATTAAATTGACTTCTTCAACGAAAAATTATGTTGTCGAACAATTACATCTTAATCTACATAATTAGATGCCACAATAACGAATCCATCAAACTTCTTTTGTACAATTGAATTTAACTTATGGTGCGGATACCTTAGTGCAAAATGTTTGTTCATTCTCTAACTAAAATACATTATTTCTTAATTTTTTATATCGTGAAGGAAAGGCACAAAATCTATTTCATTCAGAAAGATGGATTAAAAGAAAAATACTGATTTTTGACAGCATATCAATTAAGATTGAAAATAATTCTCAGAAAAACATCGATAAGCTTTTATTATTTTTAGTTCAATCCTATTGTGATATTTGGTTTTGTAAAGAATTAAACGGTTTGTAAAATGTCGAGTTACAATTACTCTTAAATGCAACTTACACAAGCTGTGAATCGAATCGATATTTTGCATTATCTTGATTTAAACATAATTTTCGTCGCCATCGATGATTTTTTTTCATAGCGAGTTAATTTTTAGTTCGAGAAATTTTCTGACCACATATTTTGAAAGAGCATAACATTCTGATCTGAACTAATTGCTTTAAATTCTAAATACATTCTAATACGTAGTTGAAAAATGAACAAATATTTTGTAATAAGACTTTCACATCATAGGTTACATCATGTTGATGCAGAATAACATAAAAATCAAATGATAATAGGTAATAAATAAGAGAACTGAGAAAAAAAAATCTTAACAAATTAATGGTTTTAGTTACAAGTTCCATCTATTATGAAGCAAACAAAACATTACTAAACAAAAGTTTTACTATAAGAATTCGTCATAATTATCTATATCTTTATCAATGATTCAAATAATTATATGCATTATTTCAAACCATAACATTAATTAATAATCCTTCTCTTCAAACTTATTTTGAATGATATGTGAGCGAGAAGATCTGATATAGTGTTCGAATTTGTTGATAGGAATACAATTAAGATCTGTCACTTAACATTTTTCTTATATCAGAATATGTATTGATTACATTTGTCCGATAGTATGTATCGTGCTTACATAAGAATCACTCATTTATGTTAATCGAAATAATTGAACTAAAAATTCAATATTTGTTCAAATATGGAAATTGAAAAATTAGGAAATCTGTAGAAAAAAGTGAATGTATCGATTTTCTTGAGCATATCATAAGTTGATTGATTCCACATCATGTCAATATAATCATTCTTACTGATATAAAACATGACTGACAGATGAGAATAAATTTATCTTATGTAGACAATATCCATTACTTTATATTTCATTCTTTTTAAGTTAAAATACGTTGCCTATATAATGCAAATTTTTGTTGGTGAACAAAAATGTCAAAGTATCACATTTCTTGTTTCTCCTATTTCAATAAAAAAGAAGTCAAATGTTTTGTCAATATCTCATATGTCTGAGTTCTATAAGAGGTTTTGTAATGACGTACATATATTTTAATTTCAATGGACAAAAACATAAGGTTGCTATTTTCACTCATCTTTTGTGTTATTATTCCTATATGTTTTACGGATTTGACTGGTGTACATTATTTACATACAATCAATTGTTCATCACCATTGTTATATATTTCACAAGGACCTTATTTATTTAGTCATCATTGGCCTTTTATATCGATTACTATTCATTATCAAAAACAACTAACTAGAGGTGTATGTTATCGAGATGGTTCTCTTCGTTTTATTCTCAATAACAATAAATTATGTTCTGGAATCTATCATGGTGGACAAGCAAATCTTTTATGTCAATTTGAAAATAATGAATATTGTTTGATTAATATGAAAACAAGTGACAGTAGTCGATTAACATGTGTTGGATCGAAAATAAAAGCAATGACAATTGTATCAATTGTATGCTTTCTTCTTACCCTTTTCATTTATAAAAATAAATTATTCGCTTAAAAGATGAGAAAATAAAAAGTATTTCGTTGAATTGTATGAATATTTTCTTTTTGAAAATTTTTAATTTAAAGCCTTCATAATAAATAAATATTGACAAACAATTTGCCTTCCGTTCAAATAACTTTAAATTTAAGTTACAGTTTAATGATAAACATTGCTGCAATGCTTGTCAGTTTTAAGCATAATACCGTTAACCTTCTTATCATTTTTTCACTTTCTTGTACTGCAAAACATACTTTTTGTAACCTTGCTATTTCATTGTACCCTTGTCATATTTACCTAATTGATTATAATCGTACTTAACTTGCCTTTTCCTCATGATCATACAATGTCCCTGAAAGGCTTCTTTTTTGTTTTACTTGCATAAAGAAATGTCGTTGACCTCTCAATATAGAAAAGCTAAATATGTGCACTGTAATTATCAAAGGTTATCAGTATTACTCTATTTTTTACGATATCATTTCTTCTTTTGTACATTATTTCGTTTACTTTGTTAATCCTTATTGTAGGTCGATTTTGGACGTGCATTCATATACATCTATAAACTTCATAACATTCCTCGTTGTCGGAGCTTGGTAATCCATACATATATAGACATATATACAGAAGACATAGTCATGACTTCATATGTCGATAAGGATGATACAAAAAAAAAAGAAAGAAAAAGGAAGAAGACCTTCGATTAAGAAGGCGAAGTTCAACAAAAAAAAATTCTAATCACATATAAATATTCGATGACAACTTCAAACGATCGTGTGATTTCAAAATTTCTCAATAGAATTATCTCCATTTCTAATAACAATACTAAAAGCTTTTTGTAATGTTATTCATAGTGATTGTGATATTTGCCATCATTGGTGTTAATTCATTACCACCTATCAACTTTACAGATACTGTATTGACAAATCGAATGATTGAAGCATTGAGCGAAGCGCTTGTAGCACATGATGAACCAAGATTAACACCATTTTATCAACTGCGACAACATTTAAAACAACAACAATCAAAACAACAACAATCAAAAGAACAACAACTCTATCAACCACAGCTTCCAGAACAACAACAACAACAATTCTATCAACCTCAGTTTCCAGAACAGCAGCAACAACAACAACAATTTTATCCGCAGCAGGTTCCAGAGCAACAACAACAATTCTATCCACAGCAGTTTCCAGAACAACAACAACAACAACAATTTTATCAACAGCAGTTTCCAGAACAACAACAACAATTTTATCAACCTCAATTTCCAGAGCAACAGCAACAATTTTATCAACCTCAATTTTCTGGACAACAACAACAACAACAATTTTATCAACAGCAGCTTCCAGAACAACAACAATTTTATCAAAATCANCAATTTTCTGGACAACAACAACAACAACAATTTTATCAACAACAGCTTCCAGAACAACAACAATTTTATCAAAATCAGGCTCCAGAAAACCAGCAACAATTCTATCAGCCTCAATTTCCAGGACAACAGCAACAATTCAACCAACAACAGTTTCTAGAACCACAACAACAACAACAACAACAACAACATTTTAAGCAACCAATCCAACAGAATCAATTGCCTGAGCCACAACGGCAACAACAACCAATCCAACAGAATCAACAGCCTGAGCCACCACAGCAACAACAACCAATCCAACAGAATCAGCTGCCTGAACCACAACAACAACTACAACACCAGCAACCAATCCAACAAAACTACCTACCTGAACTACAACAACAACATAATCCTGGCTATACAGATTCTCGAGGTAAAATTAAAGTAATTCCAATTGAAAAATTCACACTCTTTTGTTCAGGCTACTACTATCCTTATCCATATCAAAATGTCAACTGGTATAATTTTCCTTTTGTATGGTCGTCTGTAGCAACTGGTGGTCAATTTGATTCAAGAGTACCACTTGCTGGTGTTGGTGCTCAATCAACTGGTGCCGGTGCTACTGGTGAATGTCCAGTAGGTTTTTGTCCACGTGGTGCCACCTGTTCACAACTTTCAGACCAATGGCAATGTGGATGTGGTACAAATGCTTGTATTGGAAGTAAGTTAATTATTTGTTTATTACTAGTCAATTTTGAATTATTGAAGTTAAAATTAAAATGATAATTATTTTATTGAGATTATATTTTGTTTTCTTTTTTCATTGTTAACAGCAATAACTGATAATAAGAATCCTGGAGATTTTTTCGAGATCAGTCGTATCTTTAAGTAAAGAATTAGATAGTATTCGAAAAAATAATTTTTCACTAAACTAATAAAGCAAGAGCTTGTACAGGTAGAAAAGAAAATAGTATTAAATCGAATAGATAAAAATAAATTTAGAAATAAAATGAAGTTTTTTCTTATTTTCTTGACTGTTTCAAGCTTTTGAGGGTTTTCATCGTGTGATATTTGGTGAGGATGTTGATATTAAAAAAAATAATTTGTATTATATAGTCAATTACTTGTGAATATTATTGAAAATTCAATAGAACAGATTTCGCTGTTTCATATTTGTATTTATTAGAGTCAAACATAATCTTTTTATGTATTTGTTCAAATTCATATAAAAAGGACCCTGAATTAACCCTTTACCACCCATACATAGAGGTTCTAGAAGAGCAGCTAATAATATATCCAATGATCGCGTGCCGGAGAAAAGAAATTGAACAACATACTATGCCTTTGATGTTTTTGTTTGATCACATTATTGAGTGGGCAAAAATAACATCAATACCATGTTATTGTAGTAACAGAAGAAAAACAAGGAGTCAACCGATAAAAATTCATGTGAGAGGAATACATGTTTTTTTGACACATCGTATTAAATAAACGTCTACTTTATTTTGAGTCATTCTATAACCTTTGAGAATATCTAATTCATGATAAATACTATTTTAACTTCTCATGAATTGAGGTTTATAATACATTCATTAACTTTGTTCTCAGTTGCTCTTCAGCCATTCAATAATGGCTTCATTGTCAATTGAATGTTTTAGTATGTGTAATTCGTTGCGTTCTTGTGAAGTTTTTGAAGTATAGCTAATTCAGTAGTGAACTTTTCCATCGATTTATATTATACAGAAATTCCGAAAGATCTCTATTGAATGTAAGTAGAGCACATTCTCATTTTTTTAAAATTATTGATTTTGTACACTCGATATTTCAAAGACGAAGTGATGAAAAAAAGATATTCCTTTTACCGGTTAATAGCCCATGAGTTTCATTACAAAAATGTGCTTATCATTTTCAAATCCCCTGCTTAATTTATTTTCTGCAATTATTGCACAAACGATCATTCCGATAACCAACGTGGAGTAATGAAGAAATTTTCGTTGAAACATTTTGTCTTCCATTTTTTTTCGTTTCTAAATATAAATAAAAACTAAATTGTTCTATATCAATACGAAGTGAACCATGATTTTTATTATAATCTAATAATTATTCCAATTTATTAACGAATACGAAAGACTAATTCTTTTTGTAATTTTAGTTCAAAATCCATGCGGTATATTTGGTCGATACTATTTTCCTTATTATCCTGATCCATCACGATTTATTCAATGTGATCAAACTGGTGTTTTCTGGATCCGTAAATGTGCTCCTGGCACTATTTTCGATCCTAAAATAAGTGTTTGCAACTATCCGCCTGTTGTTGTCGAAACTGGCAAAAAATAATCACGAACGAAAAATGTTTTAATAACACTTCATTGTTTTTGTTTGTTATCTTTTAATTTTTTTTCCTCTTTTTCAAAATTTGTTCATGAAATAAAACGTAGAGTCATAGAGGTTCTCATAAAAATAGATTATCTTTTTCTCATTTGGATTGATCAACGAATGAAGCAAAATGAAGCAGAATACTTTACTCAATTGTTATATCATTTTAACAAACTAACGTATAATTATATCTATATACAATACAATGAATGTATTGAAAAAAATTTTACTAGAATTTAAATAAAAAATTCATATTTTTTTGTCGGTATTTGCTTTAGAATACTTATCGAATGTTTACTGTTATTTTTTTGTTAATCATATGCCCTTTTTTTTGTTATACTCTTGCAGAAGAAAACTTACAATATCATAATCAAATACATCGGTGGCTTTATTTCATTCACTGAATTTCTTTTTTGTTATATAAAACAAGCCTGGTGGTGTTAATAGTGTTCGAATAGAAATGTATGACGATTCAGCAAGATCTTTTTCATCATATGTAGCTGATATTCGTCAAGCATAAAAATATTACGAAGAACTAGATAACCATACGATTGATTTTCGAAAAAACAAAAACAAGCTACATCAATATCTACAACAACATTTGTAGAAGAACTACCAAAAATAGTCGATAGTGTTAAAGAACTGAACAAACAATTAAATTAACAATTTCGACTAGATCTGGTATGTTTATATTTTATCATTATCAAAACAAAATTCGATCTGAATATATCGAATTTAATTTCAAATGCGCTTGCACTACTTTATTTCAAACAACAGAAATAATCAATTCTCTTTTTAAGAAAGGATAAAAAACATTTTATGCGCTTCATTCATCTGTTTAGTTTTTGATCGAAAAAAAAGCAATCAGTTTTCATTTTTCTTTTCAAGTTGAGAGAAGCAAAAATGTGTGCTATGTAATACTTCTTGCAGAATATATAATACTAATCAAAACTTAAGTTAGAAAGTCTGGATTTGAATGTTCTTACGATGGTGATCCTATGAAATGTTGAATAAAAATACATTTTTTTCTTCATGGAGAATTCGACAGAAATAATTGAACCATATACAAATTTTTCTTTCAAAATAAATATTTTGAAAAAAAATTTCATTATAATCTTTTCAGATATCATCAATATCATCGGAACTACCTGTTAAGCAAACATCATTCCTAGATCCAATAATATTTGTTGAATCGAGTTCATCGATATTAGGTAATTCAAATATAATCAATAATCAAATAAGTATCTTAATTTATATTCTTTTCTTTCCCCAAGGTGGTTCATCAACAAACAACGACCAATAGAAACAAAATGCATTCAAGTAAGATATTGGCACATCCACCTGAACAGCAGCAACAACAACAACAACCAATTCCAATGATTATTGGTTCTTCGAAAAAATCACTACCATATTCAATGATATCACAATATGAACCTCCAACAGTAGCCTATAACGAATCCTTGAAAAACAATAAAGTTGCGCCACCACAAGTTCATGATTCACAATTAGTCAATCAAGCATTCCCAAATAATTGTATATAATTCAAAATACAAACTATTAAATCGAGTCATTTAATTTGTTTTTTATTCTTAAAGCCTTTCTAAGTCCATCATCATTAACATCAACAAATCCATTAATACCATATTCTTTTATATCACAACAAGAACCACAGCACAACGCAAATAAATATATCGATCAATCGAAAACAAATAAAAAAAATTCAAAACATCAATCTGCAGTTAGTACAGTTAATGCAAATTATAATAATCGATCACATGCATTTTACAATCAAAGTAGTGATGGTCCTGGTAAGTTTATTAATTTTAAGTTGAACTCATTTCGATATTCCAAAAAAATATGATATGGCTTGTAGAGACAGCAGCCAAAAATCGACCTAACAATACTAGAAATAGCGCACTTCAAAGTGACATAGATGATGATGAAACAAAACCACAGGGCAAATGGGTATGGATATTGATCTACTGTTAATTTAAAGAGAAAAATTTATTTTTAAGGGCCAATGGCTTTCTCAACCATTATGTTTAGGTTTGACACGTTTAAGTGGTGGAGTTTTATTTGGATCAATGATATTACTTGCTTGTGGATCAATAGCTGGTCTTATTGCGTCGATTGCTTTGTACACTCAAGGTTCAAAAAGAATGTTGTTTTTTATTTACTAATTAAAAATCTTAAGATTTGTTTTAGATAGTGAGACGAATAGTCAATGGAAAATCTTAGGCATGGTTATTTGTTCTATCATGTTAATAACAATAATTGCGACAGTACTTATATTTATTTGTTGTTATAAACATGGTTATATGGATAATTCAGATGATGATATTGATCCAATCGATCCATTAACAACATCAGGTTTCAAACAAAATGAACGACAAAAAGCTGCTGTCAGAACTTATAAACTTGATTCAATAAATCATGCATCATCGATTCCATCTGGTATACTTCAAAATGTATCAACACCAAGTTCCATGCCTAAACTATCGTGTAAAGTTCATGATAAACAAACAAATACAGAAACAAGCATTGCTCCATTACGTCCAAAAGATTTTAATCGTGGTGTATGGCCAGCAATCAATGCCTTTGGTGGAATAGCAGATCGTTCAAAAGTTCGACCAAGAATGATTTCTCGTGTTGTTCAAGTATTACCACATGAAATTGAAGAAACACTTGAAACTAAACAAGTTATTAATAAAATTGTTGTTCCACCAACAGCAGTAACTCCACCTCCACAAGTTCAGCAACGAATAATTTATATGCCTGATGAAAAAACATCTGTTATTGATGCTGTCGAAACAACAACAAAACAACCACGAATAGCTAGTATTCGGGAAGTACAAAAACAGAATATTGTTGTACAACCAAAACCTCGTGTTGAAACTGCTCATGTTGAAGAACAACGAACACATCGTATTGAAAATATTGACAGTAGAGATGAACAGCCACATCGTGCTGAACATGTTGACAGTAGCGATGAAGAATCACATCCTATTGAACATATTGATACTAAAAAAAAACAAGCACATCGTATTGAACATGTTGATAGTAATGAAGAACAGCCACATCATGTTGACACGAAGGAAAAACAAACACATCGTACTGTTCAAAAACCTCAGCATGAAATCGTTGAAGAAGTTAATGAACGAGCAAGATCATCATCAATAGAAGAAATTGTTGATGTACCAAAACATGGAAAGAAACATGGAAGAAAGAAAGATAAAAAGCAAAGTTTTGGAAAAGTTTCTGTTAAACATGTCAAACCCACCAATTAAGAACCATGTATTACTGTTGATAATTAAATTTAAAAATCATTTCTATATAGTTCAAAACATTTTTAATTATTCAAAATAAATTTTCTATATTTTTTTATTTATTTTTTCTTATTTTTTTAATAAGATGATTGAATAAGAAATATACGAGTTAGACTCGAAAATAAATCAGCATATTATTAAATTATAATAGAAAAAGGTCGAGAAATACGTACTCATAAAAAACAATGGGTGACCTCTTTTCTTTTTCTAGATAAATCGCGAACTTTATACTTTCATTACATCATCCAAGTCTGATGCAATGTGCACTGTCATAGAGCGACATAAATTCACATGTTCTCCATTGGTCTACAAGATTCCATTTCTCCCTTTCTCTCTCTAAAATTGACTAATGTATGTACATTAGTTAAATATCATCATGAAATAAACTATCTCCTATATACGCGAATGTTAGGAAACATTCGAGAATATTCTGGAATAATGATAAATGGAGAGTATATAAACTCGCCTTAGTTTGATTGTTTTTTGATTCACTTATAGTTTCTATTAAAACAAACACTTACTGATGGCTTCAACTCGTATTATCTCACGTCTTATTGTACCAAATACTCTTTGTCGTCTATCAGCAGTAGGCAACATGGGTGGTCCAATACGTCATTTATTCTATCGAAATCCAAGAAATTTACCTGATGTATTTCTTGGTACGACATCAAGTGTTTTTCGAGATTTAGAGAGAGAATTTGAACGTATGCAACGACAATTTGATAATTATTTTCGGGGTAATAGTCCCAATGATAATCAATCATTAGTCAATTTTTCACGTAGTGATACAAATGGTAAATATTTCTCTTTTGTTTTTCTTCGATTAAATAATCATATTTTTGCTTTTTTATTTTTTAGAAAATAATATGATTGTTACTGAATCAGATGGTTCTAGAAAATTTCATTTGGGATTTAATATGCATGGTTTTGAACCTGAAGAAGTGAAAATTAAAACACAAAATGGTACATTAACTATTTCGGCTAAGAAAGAGAAGAAGGTATAAATTAAACTATTTATTTATATTAATTTTCTTAAAATTTAATATTCTTTTGTTTTAGGCTGGTAATAGTTATTCACTTCATGAATTTAGTCAAACTTATACATTACCAGAAGAACTTAAACTTGAAGATTTAAAATCAACATTTACCGAAAATGGTATTCTTACAATTGAAGCACCATTACCTAAAGCCGAACCGAAAGATCGACAGATTCAAATTGAACATTCAAAATAAACTAAATCGTTGTTTTTTCTTTCTATCTGTCTGTAAATTTCTCCTATACCAGCTGATTATTCTAAATGAAATAAAAAGTTGAACGCTAAATATCAATCTTTTATTTACAAAGATCAAAAAAAAAAAACGAGTTTTCTTTTCGTTCAATCTAATTTAAATATTTGAAGTTTATTAGGATTTTCACATTTAATAACAAGATAATCATTTGCCAATCGACTAGCATTTAATGGTGAACTGTCTTTATTTTGTGTTTTTTCTATTTTATTATTTTCATTGATAAATAATAATTGATTTTGTTGATTATCAACAATAAGCCATTGATTGTTTGCCAATGATGTTAGCATAATTGCTGTTTTGCTCAGTTCAATATGATGTATAACACGTGTTGCTAAATTAAAATCAAATATTTCTAAACGCATTGCATCACCTTGAATAAGTAAACCAACATGTGTACCATCTGTACGCATTGATAAAATATTTTGATCTGTTTCTTCAACAATTTTTAGTTTTGTCCAACGATTAACTAATTGTAATGTTGGTTTCCATGTCCATTTTGTAATTGCTGATGCATTTGCATATGAAATAAATATATGTTCATCATAAGCTGTTATTGATGAAAATTCCATATTATATTCACCTAATTTATCTTTTTTACTAAATTCTTCAATTAATTTCATTTCAAATGAATCAACATTTAATTCATAAATATAACTACGAGTTAAAACAATATAAGAATTTTGACAAGATAAATAAGTAAGATCATCAATTGTTAATATACCTGATGAATCATATTCTTTCCATTCAAATTCTTTAATTTGTTTAAGTTTATCATCAAAAAGAATAAATTTTGTTGTATCATAAATAAGAATATTTTCATTAGATGTTGATAATGCTAATTGATTAGTTGCAAGTTCATGTTCATATACAGCAGTACGAGATAATTCAGGTGCTTTTTTTAGTTTACGTACATATTTTTCAGTGTTGTTCTTAGATTCATCAATAGTTTCCTGTTTTGGTTTATTTAAAGTTTCAACACTGACAGTTTCTTCATTAGCTTGTTTTGGTGATGTTTTACGATTTGATGAAGACGCCATTTTATTAATTTTTTTTATATAGAAAGTAAAGTTTGATTTTGTACAACAGATGTACGAGTAAAATTTTTGCTTCAAGGAATCAGATCAATAAGTGCGTTTAGCAAAGAAATATATACTATTCTTTTTCTCTTTCCTTGAGAACAGGAAAAAAGAAAGCACACACTATGACTCATTATGCGTCGTTATAATTCTCTGATAATTCCTTGAAAGGATGTTAGTTTTATCAAATAACCAAAGAACAAATCTAATTTGCTAAATTTTCATCGGAATGAAACCGAGATGATTTGGTATAATGATATTTAATGTTATGTTCTTAATCATCTAAATCACAATATATTTATATATATTTTTTTTAAATTAATAAAATATGTGAGCAATCGTTGAACAACAAAAGACTTAAGGACAATCAATATTGGAAAAAAAGTGTCTTTTTCATCTTTTTGAATGTTGTTGTTCTTTTGTTTTTTTTATGAAAAAAGAAAATCAACAACAATAGATGATAATAACTTTCTCTTTACTCTCTCATTTTTAGAAACTCATATTCATATATACACAGAAAAAAACAATATTTTCTTTTTGACGTTATTGTTCAAGCATATCTTCTGTTGATGATGATGGTAATGGTGTTGAATTGCTATTACTTGAACTACTATTTTCATCAGTAAGATTCGGTGGTGGTGATGATGATGATGATGGTTTGTCTTCTTCTTCTTCTTCAACTTCATCTTCATCTTGTTCATTATCATTATTATCTTGTTCCATTTCATCATCTAATTGAGTGTTTGTTGTTGAACCAGCTTGACTTTCTTGACTTTCGATTATCATTGAATCATTATCATTTGTAGTATGTGGAATGGCAAAACCATTAGTTATTTGGGAATTTGTAGGTGTTTCAGACGAATCCAATGATGTTGATGATGCTAATCCATTGCGAGTTGGTTCGATATATATTTTGCTAAAAAAAAAAAAAAGTTACATTCTCACGTATGTTTTATTTATCAAGTTGACGAAAGATAAATTCAAATGTATATCCTATATTTATCATTTTCGAACTACTTTCTATATGAGTGCGATAATTAATAAGCACAAACATATTAACGACAATCAGCAGAACTTTAAAACAAAAATTAAAAAAAAGCGTGATTCATTAAGAGTTTTTATAGGATTTTATGTAATCTTTCAGTAGATCGTAATGAAATGAGCTTATTAACGGATGAATAACGAATGATGATGATCCATATCTTTATGCTTTTATCGATTTCAATCATAATGCTTGAAAGTATATTGCTGATTTTAAGTATGCAGTACACTATGCAATGAGCTGATATTTAGTTTATCCGTAAAAGTCAAATATATTCTCACAGTAAATAATCTAGTTCCATGGATAACACAAGGACAATTTTCTATTCACCTCCTTCTCTTCCGCTCTCAAACAGCAGGTAGTCTAGCAGTAAAAGATGTTTTCGCTTGGATCTAATTGTTCTCAAAAGCATGATATTTGGAAAATTGATTATTGACTCATCAGACAATGCATTATGCATTTCAAAGTAATGTAACACTTTTTCTTGAAAACAAAAGACTTTACATAAAACAATTTTAGCAACAGACTCAAATTTTTTTTTGTCATTATCGTCTATTTACTGTAGCTTGTATTTTCATCTTGATATTTCTATGAAAAATTGTGTCTGAAATTTAAACAATGATTCTTTTTTGAATGATTAATCGATCTAACAATCAGCAGAGAATATGAACATATTGTCTTTTAGATTGTTTATTTATATATTTAATATTAGTTGCTAGTTGATTTCCTCGTGGATTTTGAGGTAACTGGTAAATTACTTTCTTCCTTACACATTTTTATTTTGAATTTAAGAAAACAAAAACAAATTAATAACGATTAACGAATAATAAGACTACTTTTATTGGTTATTAACAGTAAAGAAGATTAATCATTGGATTTTATCCATTAAATATTGATTAGGAGGTCTTCGGCTTTTTTGATCGAAATAGTCAAGTATCATATAGTCAGTCATCGAGAGATAAGACTCGATTTACGATTCCGCTACTGAACTTGACTCAGCGATAAAAAATTCGATTATGATGCATTACTTAACTAATTCTATATCGGATAAAAATATGACGGCAACTATATTTATTACGATAACGATAAACAAAATCATAAGACTAAGGGTCGATCCTCTTATATTAACTACGAATTCCTAACGGATATACAGTGACTACTAAAATTATTCGGAAAGATTTATTTTCAATTTTTTCTGTTGCCATCAATGCTAGAAAGAATCTAAATAGAGATATTCAAGTAGAGAAAATTGTTTCCAACAGGTATATAAACAAATAAAAATTATTATAAAGTTCTCAAAGATAGGAATTTTAGAATACAAAAAGCCTAATTTTTCAGTACCTAAAATGTGTAAACGTAATTTTTTCTCGACAACATAAAACGATAGTGCAATTTTACATAAGTCCCCAAAGTCATTTTGTTTACTGTTTCCTATAGAAAAGTCATCGTTTTCACATTCAATCATATTACTATATTTCAGTTAAAAAACATCGCAGAGAACTCTAAAATATTTCATTTTGTACAAGACAGTTTACTCTATTGTTCTATGTAGTCTAAATAAAATTATACTTATGCATTCTAGATGCTAAAAAGCCTTGGTTTTGGTATTCTACAGCCTTTATCTTTGAAAATCTGATAAGAATTTTTATTCTTTTTAGAATTAGTATTCTCTACTCGAATTCCTATTCAGAATCTTTCTAGCGCTTACGACAGTGGAAAAAGCCAAAAATAAACCTTGTTAAATAATTTTGGTATCTACACCCTATATGTTAGATTAAGTAATCTTATTTTAGTATGCACAGCAAGTGTGAAAAAAAGTTGAAAAAAAAATACTATTCCCTTGTAACACTAACATATTGTTTATGTTTGTTTCTGATATAAAGTCTTTTCGAAATTTAATGTTAAACTTACTTTCCTTCATTGTCAATTGTTGTTACTACCGAAACACATTTAGTTAGACCACGAATAAATTTATCTGTTCGTCGATAATTTGCTCGTGGTGAAAGTAATAATTCACATAGACGTTGAATGGTAAATGGAGCACTAGAAAAAAAAACAAAAATTTCAATGTTAAAAAGGAAAAATTCTATTTACTTTTCAAATGAATTAATTCTTTCAATAATGTCACTTTTTAATTCTTCAAATGTTGATCGATCAATATTTGGATGAATATCTAATTTATCCATATTAGATTCTGTATTAAATTCATGAAGAACAAGATTTAATTTTTTAAGAAATAATGGTTTTATTTTTTCCCATGGATAACTAGAAAAAAGATAAGCGAAATATTAGCAAATAAAAAAAAAATATCCAAATAAAAAAGTCTACCTTGTAAAACCGGTTTTAGCTATTTGAACAAGAATTTGTTCTAGTTCAGGTGTTAAAACTCGTTCATTTTCTGATTTTTCTAGAAATTCTAAATGAAAAGAAAAATAATGCTTTCGAAAAAAGTTAACCAACAATTAATAATGATCGAAAACTTACTATCGAGATTATCAATAACTAAATTAGATGATAAACTTGAACTAACAACATCCTGTTCGTGCTCTTTTTCAGCTGTCTCCATCATCTGAACAAATACAAAAAGAAAAAGAAAAAAGAAAGAAAGATTAAATTAGCCAAATAAATCTATCTTTCATCTTATTCGTTCATAATTCTCCAATAGTAAACTAGAACAGCTGATTCATATATTAATGTTTGCATTTTCTTATTACACACATTATGGTTGAATTATTAGGTAGTCATTGTGAATATCCAGAGTGTAATACACTTGATTTTCTGCCGGTTTATTGTTTTCATTGTTCAAAAACATTTTGTAAACGACATGGATCAGCACCTGATCATTCATGTGTATCTTTACTTCAAACAAATTCAATAAATTCATCAAATTCTTCATCATTTCTTCCATGTGCTTATGTAGATGGTTGTAAAAGTCAAAAATCTCCAATTAGTTTTACATGTTTATTATGTTTAAAAAATTTTTGTGTTGAACATCGTCATGTGGATGATCATAAATGTTCTTATCGTTCATCATCACCACCAACACATCATTCATCACAGATAAATAAAAATGAAATAAAAACAACAGAGAATTTTTCAAAAGAAAAGTTTATTGGAACAAAAAATGAAGCTTTAGCTAATAAAGTAGCAATTATGAAATTAAAACAAATAGCAAAAGGACCAACAGGTATACCAATGGAAAATCGTCTTCATGTTTTCGTACAAATTGATGATGGTGATGGAAATAATAAACGTTATCCATTTTATCTTTCAAAACTTTGGCCATTAGGAAAAGGACTTGATTATTTAACAAAAGAATTAAAATTATTACCAGCAAATCGTATGATCATATTAGATAGAGAACAAATTCAACTTGACTTATCAATAACTATTAATGATTTAAAAGAATTGCATGATGCTGATGTTATTATTTTAAAAAAAATTTAAATAAAAAAATTTTTTTTTTTTTGTAATATATTTTTGAATAAATCGTTTTGAAGATTTATTCTAACGAGTTATTTGAAAGCTTTTAGACAAGATATTTGTTCATTTTTGAACCACTACAAAGCATTCTCTACAAGTTAATAGTTATGAGTTAGAATTAACACTTTGAGTTCTTTTTAAACATGAACTTTAAAAAGTTTTGTTTTAGTTTTTGTTCGAGAAGAGTGAAATCATCTTTGAGAAGCTCCACAAATGAAGTGGTGGACCGACGCTTTCAGTGAGTATATTTGTTCATTTTGGTTTGCTTCAAAACATTTCAAACGAGCGAAAAACTTTAGATTGCAACCAGAATTTGTATATAATCTTAAAAAGGTTGTGACCAGTTTTGTTCAAGAGTAGTAAGGGACTTCTTGAAAGATTCGGAAAATTATTTTTAATGGTAGACTAACAGATTTTTGTTTACTTCATAAGTCTCTGTTCAAATATACTAAAAATTGTCGGAGTCGGTCGCTTTGTAGGGCGGACACTAATTTTTTATCCAGCATGAGGGCAGCGTTCTTTCAAAGATCACAAGTTACTCTTTCTAAAGTTTGTGGTTATTGTACTATGTATTGTATGTCTGTGCTCTCAAAAATAGATGCTTGTCATTTCAGAAGAGAGAATCGGGATAAGACACTGGTGGGCACGTCTCGACAAAATGTCATATTGAAATAAGTTGTATCTTTGTTCAAGTGAAGTTAGAAGCATTTTTCAAGAGCTTCCTTTAACGTAAAACAGTTGTCGATTTTTCAAAAATTGAAATGCCTTGTCAAAGACAAAAAAGGTTTCAAATGATACATTTTGTAGAGCAACTTCTGACCTACAAGCTGATATACAAATAAAGATTCCAACTTTTAATTTTGAATCAAAATAGTGAAAATACAAAAAAAATGTGCGGAAAAATCATCCATTCAAACTAATTTCTTGGGCTTTTCAAAGAATAGTTCACTATTGTCAAATAAAAACTGAAGCGAAATTTCTAACGAGGGAACCGTTCCAAGTGATTCACGCCGATTTTGCTTATATTTTGCCCATATGTAGGGGTCAGTATGCTAAGAAAAAGCCTAAGAGGATTNTCATTTTGTACAGAATTGGCTGTTCTATCATTCTAGCCTGTTAAAACAAAAAACAATTCACGCTTTCTGGGTGCTGAAAAACTAGGGTTTTGGTTTTCTGGAGACCCAGCCCTTGGGAATCTGATTATAATTTCTATTTTCTTATATTCTTATTGGAAACCATTTTCTCTACTGGAATCACTATTTGGAGACTTCCTAGCGGTGAAGATAGGGGGAAAAAATTGAAAATAAAGCTTGTTGAACAATTTTGGGACCCACTGTATATATATGTATGAAAGAAAATTTCTTAAACAATAACTAACTGTGTATCAACTTCAACAATTTTTTCGATACTACGTGGTTCAATAAGCACGGATGTAATACGTTTTTCCGTAGCTAAGACAACACCTAAATAAACAAAAAAAATAGAATGAAAGAAATATATAAATTAATCAAATCTGACTTAAAAAACTCAATCTTAGACATTCATCGAATAAAGTTTAACATTTTGTGAAACACGACCTAAAATGAGTGTTGCAGCATAGGAGTAAAAATCTGCGCCCCCCCCCCCTCCCGCCCTCTCTCTACAAGACTGTGACAGCAGCCGTTGTTGATATACGATTACAGACGGTATATTAATAATGTCTCATCGCACTACTTCCTTATTTTATTTCTCTAGGATTAAGTAAACGGATGGTGAAAGACATGTATCCTGAAATAGATAGAATAAAACAATCTCTTTATAATTAATAAGGAGTCACATCGTGTTTCACATTTTAATCCCACAGAAATTGGAATAACAGCTTTATTTTAGTTAGATTTTATTTTAAAACATATGAAATAAGTATTTGTCAAAGATAAAGTGATTGTAAGTCGTATCTTTGATGGATTTTTCCACAGGTAGTCAACCGTAAAAAACACAAGGTTCTTAGAAAGTTTTTTCGTCTGTAGAACTAAACGTCAACTATTGCTCAGCTCCAATCAAGACTAGCGGAAATTTTTGACTATTTTCGTTCTAGCACTATAAGTTATTGAGTAAATTTGAATTTTTTTTATCCAAATGATTAGTGCAACATGCTCAACAGACAAAAAAAAAATCTTGTGTTTTCTTGCGGTTGACTACCAATGGAAATATCCATTAAAAATACAATTCTCAAGCTTTTTGTTATTGAAAATATATGTATATATATATTTCTATTTTTCTAACCTTCTTGTGTCATAATTCCAATAGCTGTTGTACCAAATTTAATTGCTTCAATAGCATATTCAACTTGAAAAAGACGACCTTCAGGTGAAAATGTATTTACACCTCGATCGTATTCACTTCTTGTCATAAACATTTCTAAAAGTTTTCTTTCACTCGGGGAATTTAAAAACACGTATGAAGATGATCTAGAATACTAACAAAAACATATATCTTTTATTTCGATCTACAATCGACCACAAAAAAAATCTCGTTTTTGTCTCTCAGATGATAGATAGATATATATATATATATGTATGTAAATTATGTACAAACAACCAAGAAAAAAAAAAAGGAAAACTGAATGAATACATATGATGATAATAATAATAATGATGAAGTATATAATAAGTTTGCTAAAAGAAAAGCATAGGCGGATACACAAATGAAAATGAATTGTTTAAGATTGATGAACTTTATTTGGTAATTTTGGTATCGGTGGTAAATTAATCCAATTAACATTAACACTTGATATACGTAAACGAAGTTTAGGAGCAAATACACGCATATCACCTAATTTTAAACCATGTTGTTCTTCAAATTGTGCTATAATACGAGCATATTTTTTTGATGGATCTTCTTGTTGATGTTGTTGTTGTTGTTGCTGCTGCTGTTGTTGTTGTTGTTGTTGTTGTTGTTGATGATGTTGTGATGGTGGACGACTTTAATAAAAGTAGTTTTAAAAAAATCTATTTAATTTATTAATAAAATAAAATTTACCCTCGCCTTGCCGGTACTCGTATTGTTTGTTGAAATTCTTCTTCTTGTTGTTGTGTATCTTGACTAATATCATATTCTTCATCTTCTTCATATTTTCTATAACGATGTTGTTTTCCATATTGTAAATGACGATTCATGCCAGCTGACATATAGTCATCATCATTACGAATACGTTTTCTCATTTGTTGATCGTCATCATCTTCATTTTCATAATATCGTTTTGTATTTTGATAACCACTTGACCGTTTATATGGTTGAGTTATGGTTGTATTACGAAATTGTAAACGATTTTCTTCATCAATTATTTCTTCTCCACCAGGACCTTCAATATGTTCAGTTGTTAAACCAACTTGTTTCTAAACAAAAAATAAAAGATTAGCTTTTAAATTCAATTTTCTTTTTTTTTATTCAATTTAAAAATATTATGAAGAATTTAATCAGCTAAGAGTGAAACAACATATTCCAATACACGACTCTAAAATATTTAACCCCATAAAAACGAAAATCTTATAATGCTCAGAATTAATCAATATTCGATAAGTTTTCATCAGAAAAATTGAAATTTAATTCTTGTCTAAGTTTGAAATAGTCACATGTGATCAAAATCTCATGTTTATCTTTTAGTTCATTTGACTAAAACTGTTGAATACGAACTAATATGAACAATCAGAATTTCAATAATCTTTATTGATGATAAAATAAGAAACTAGGATGACTAGAATTTAAACGTGTTGTTATATCGTAAATGCAGTTGGTCTCCTTTGTACTTGCTTTACTTTTATTGTACTCTGTATAATTCGCAAGTATCTAAAGAAAATTATTGTCTTCTTGTATAAAACATTAATTATTGGTTTTCTTAATCCAAATTTTCTCTTCAGGAGGAGCGATTTAAAACTCCGAAGACGCGAACATCTATTTTTGAAAGCATAGTACTACAATCATCAGAAAACTCTGGAAAAGTCAATATGGTCCTTGGATAGGTCAGTGATATCCACAGAAGTTCTTTAAGGTGTGCTGTAGAAAGATGGAATGGAAAAATGTTGAAAATTTCAACATATAAGACATTTTGTATTTTTGGCACAAGGGGTGTTAGTGTGGGTTCTAGTCTTCTCTTCCCATACGACACTTACACCCAGCTTGGAGAAATCCCTTTTTGCAATATGTTTCTAGCTTCGACATTTTTTGCTATTATCTTCTTTAAGACCAACCTTTCTTTAGGACGAGAGAAATCCTCTTTAGATATTTAAATGTTTTTCGAGGAAAAATCGACCATTCCTTGGAGCGATGCTACTTTCAATAACCTCTACATTAGATCAAGCACTATTGATTATGATCGTGTTCGATAAAAAAAGAAAGAATTCTCATTAAATTAACTAATTTACTTTTCCAGGTGATGTAACTTCAATTTGACTTTTTGATAATGCATCTGTTGTTGTTTGAGTTGTTGGACTATTTGATGATGAATCAATAGTAGCATCTTGTAAAAGCATTTTTTTCGATTCGGGTAATTGTTCATAAAAACTTGGTAACATATTACCAATATAAGATGATTTAATTGTTCCACCAGTTGGTTTACTAGGCGGTGGTGGTGGTGGTGGTAATTTAACTGGTGATGACATTGTTTTAGTAATTGTTGTTTGAATATTTGTATCATTTTCATCAAGTTCTTGATCTTCTAACATATCCATTTCAGTAACTGTTGGTGCAATATCATCATCAAGTTCATCATCAACAATAGATGAACGAAGATTATTTGATCGAAAACGTTGTACAGCTATTCGAGCAGCTGTACGTTTTGGTGGTTTATTACGACGCATAGTTGGTTGATGAAGATCACCTTCTAAACTATCATCATCTTCTTCATCTTCATCAAAATCATCTCCTGAATTAAAATCATTTGAATGACGAAATGTAACACGTTTAGATGATGCACTTGGAGGATATTCTGAACGAGGATAAAGACGTGGTGGTGGAGGAATATTACGACGCATTTGAGGATTATTACCACGTGTACTACTATAAGTCGATAGACCACCACGACGAGGAATTATTGTTGTTGGTTGACGATAAGATGATAATGATGACGATGATGATGATGGTATAACTGGTCGATTTGATATTCCACCACGAGATCGACGATCATCATCAAATGATGAACGAGGTGTATAACCACCACGTATCTAAACAAAAATATAAAATACAAGTATTAAATTACTTGAAATCGAAAAAAAATTTTACATTTTGTTGTTTTAAACGTCGATCAATATGTCCAATAGCTAATGGATATTTAACAGGTGTATCATCATCAGCAAAATTATAATGACGATAATTATTGACTAGAGGCGAAGTCGTTGTTGTCGTATGTGATGGTAATAATGCAAGTGGAGCACGTTCACGTCCGGTTACCGTTCGACGTGTGTTCATTCTCATAAATACTTCATAAGGATCATAATCATCATTGACTTGTTGATTTGTATTATTTAAATCAATAGCATCAACTTCAAGACAAAGATCAATATTAAGACCAGCATATGGATCATAACCATCTTCTGTTGTTGACATATATTCAAATGCAGCATATGATGTTGATGTTGGTTCAACTTCACATTCAAAATTTGATTCGTCTTTACGTTCTTAATAATAGAAAAAAAAGAATAATTATTCATTATTATTTGTTTTTTTTTTTTTAAATAATTTAATTAAATATTAACCTCGAATTTCAGCATCTCGTTTTAATCTCCATCCGAGTAAAGTAAGACCTTCAGTAAGATTAGGTTGATGAAGTATAGCAGTCATCTAGAAACACATAAAGAAAAAAAAAAAAACATAATGTTTAACTCTCTTAAAATAAAGAGATAACAATGGTTGATTTTATTTAAAACAAAAAAAAAAAGAAAACACTATTCATCAATACTATCGTTATTTGTCTGTTTTTCATGACGAGAATTTGTCTTATTTTTTCTTGATTCAATTTGACCAAGTTTTTTATAGACCACTTTTTTTAATTCTTTATGTTTTTGTAAACGTTTTATTTCTTGAGTTTTTTGTTGTTTTTTATATTGAGCATTACGATTTGCTTGAGTTTTTTGTTTAGATTTTAATCGATCTTTATATACTGTTGTAAACATTTTCATTATATCAGCAATCTAAAAAATTTAATAAAATTTTCATATATAAAAATCTTATATATTTTACTTTTTTTTCTTGTGGTTCTAGAACAACAGCAACACGTTGTTTTTCTTCTATTGGATCTTTCATTGTTGTAGATCCAGTTGTTTTTGGTTTAAGATGAAATGGTAAATCACGTTGAAGTTGTGTAGGTATTTTTAATGGACGAAAAACACGTTCTTTTCTTTCAATTGGTTTATATAGAGAATCAACATTAGGTTCATTACGAATATTCATAGCATATTTAAGTTGACCAAGAGAACTAAATTAATTATGAAATTGTCGAAATAGAATTTGATCAAATTTTAAAAAGACTTATTAGTAAAGCTCTATATTTAGAGCAAAAAGTTTAGAACTGAACAATGTTTTATTTTGCTTCATAATATTTATCAAATATGTACAAAGTGAAAGCAACCTGTAATAAACTATAGTTACTTTCAACTGATAATCGATTTTCAGGGACACGATGTGTCTTTTTGATTTCTGCATTATGATCAGAAATTTTTTTTTTCTTTTTTTACCTGGCGCTTTTTCCCTTATTTATCTTATTGATATTCGTTCGCTTTTTCTTCATAATTTACTAGTTTTTATTATTATGTGATCATATTATTGATTTAATTCGGAAATAAACCTTTTGCACACATTTATTGTATCTACAGTAGATCTTAGGGCAGTATTATGTATCGCAATACTAATATTAATTATTCGTGAAAAGTTAGAATTTGATCAATCCTTGATTTTCTATTAGTCATAATATGACTAATTGCGGTAAATTACCATGCATCATTAATCATCATTCTTCATATCTATAACGTTGAAAAATGTATTCCAGTAATTTAAATGTCAAGAAAACCTTTAGGCTGTTCCAGAGGTGGTGCAGCCTCGTTATTAACGCCGTTTAGAGCATTTCTTTGTTAATCATTATTCTCAATTGCTAAGAATACGCAATCAGTACACCTTAATCATTGAAAAGGTAACTAAGATCTAAGAAGTCGAACTGTTGGATTTAAAACTTCTATTCATTATTTTTCTTTGAAAGTCATAATGTAAGTCGATTAATAAGAAAAGACTTGAAAAAACTAAGTTTTCTGTAACATCTAATGATTCGAGACGATGATTTCGATCTTAATCGAAAGTTTTATAATGTTCTAAGTATCACAAAGTTCAATTTGAAATTTCTTTTTGATATTTTACTTAAGATTGGAATAAATCGAAGTGTGGCGAATCTCAAATAGTAAAAAAGTGTCATGCGACGGGTGTGAATGTAGGTGTTCGTACGGAGCCAATCATACATCCACCCTTAAATTTTCAATACCAGTACGTCTTTTTTTGGACGAAAAGTTATAGTTTAATAATGTATTGGGTCACTTTTCATTCGACATAGCTTAGTATATACCTTATTATTATGAATCCGTTTCGAAAATGAGAAGATAATAGAGCGAACGTATTATAAAAGTATAGACATACGAATGAACGAGCAAGAAAAAAAAGCATGCATAAGTTAATGTTGAGGATTCTTCCAATATGTGTCTGTACATCTACAGATGGACATATACGTCATCGAATTGTTCCTTTCTCATGTATGCGTCACTATATACAGGATGTCCTGAAATTCACACTTCACTTAGTGCTATAGGACAGCATTAAGCGTAGTGCGACTTTCGGGACATCCTGTATATATATATATATATATATCTACACATATATATGTTCGTGTGTGTTATTGTTTCTCTTCTCCTTGATCTATCCTTCTCTATCTTGACGTGATTAATGTTTTTCCCGATGAAACTGAACTCATTTTCACCCAAACTTACAGTTAAAATACAAGTGATTCTTTTCTTAATTCTTCAAAGAAAGAACAAGCAAAAGGATGCACGTGTGATTCAGATGGAAGAAAAAAATACAGTTACTATCTAATTCAAAAATAAATAAACAATTCTGTAAAAGTAAAATTTCAATAGGAAAATTTCCAACTGAAATAGACAATTGTCCATTTGTCCCTCTCTTGATTACGCCATCGAATCGTATTGATATCGAATTTCTAACAATATCTATACTTCTTTAATAATAAATGTGCAGCAAAAAAATTCCTACCGAAGTCCTTGCCATTGATCTTTTTGTTCAATTGACATTAATAAATTAGTAACAGGTGTATAAAATTTCGGTACTTGTAATGGAAGCCATGCTCGAAGAAAAACAATATCTAAAAAATAAAATTCTTATTAAATTTCGATTGAATTTCATAAATATTTTTTTCTCACCACTAAGAAGAATTTTATCTTCAAATGTAGCACGAAAAGCACCTTGATGTTCTTTAACAAATTTTTTAATTTGTCCACGTATACCACTTACAGTTCGAATAGATGCACCTTGAAATTTAGCAACTTCTATTGATGTATTAAACATACCCTAAACAAATAATAAAAAAAGTTTTAATCAATACTTGTTTTTTTTTTTTTTATAAACAAATAATCACTTTAACAAATGCTGTCTTTTTAAATATTTTATATGGTGTACCAATTAATTTTAATTTTTTAACTATTTTTGTTGATTTATCTAAATCGAGTACGACACCAGTTGCTGTTATTCGAAAATCGGTCTAGAAAAAATTAAAATAATATTTCATTAAATCATTTATTTCAATTTTACTTTTCCAGCTGTTTGCTGAACAGCAACAAAACCTGTATTTTGTGGTGTTATAGGTCCTATAAAAAAAATAAATATTTTGTTCTTATTCGAATAGAAAATATGTTCATACCATAGAATATTGCATGACAATACATATGTTGTGGTGTATATTTTAAAAGTCGATGTCTCATATTATGATCTTGAATAAAATAATATGGAACTGTTTGAAAACGTCTCCAACCAAGTGAAATAATTAATGGATCTTTGCTTTTTAGAATTTTTTTATGCCATCGATGTTTTTTTAAACGAACTTGAACATAACCAGTATGAGATTCAGTTATAGGCATTCCACCAAGTATAATTATATAACGTGCATCAAAATTATTAACAAATTCACATGGAATTTGTGTTAATTCACAACGAACATACATTCCGGGACGATAACCTTCATATAAAACACGAATATCATCAGGCATATTTTCAAATTCCGATCGATTTAACTAGAAAAACAAAAAAATTCGATTAGAAATAAATAAAAAATATTTTAATAATACTTTTGTTTGTATGTCGACTTCTTTTTTAAGTTCATCTAAATATGTTGAATCAGGATCTTTTGATTGATCATATTCAGCGTCAAATGCAGATTTTAATTTTGCTTTTTTAGCTTCAAGTTGAGTTTTTTCTTCATCATCTAAATAATTCAATAAAAAATATCGAGAAAAAAAATTTTGATTTTTTACCTTCATAATCCATTTGATCATCATCATCATCATCTTCTTCTTTATTTGTTTCACCTGTTTCTAGATCTTCAAAATCACCAAATAATTCTTCTAAAATAAATAAATTAATTTCGAAACCAACAAAAAAATACACAACAAACCATCATCATCATCAATAGCATCATCTTCTGCAAGTAAATTCTCAGCATCTTTTTCTTTTTCCCATTTTCCTGTTACGAAACAATCACGAATTAAATTTGAAATCTAAAAACAAAATAAAGTTTTTTTTTTTAAAATTCAATTTTATATTATAAATTATTTTGTTTTTTTACTTCATCGAAATTCCATTTATGTTTTTCATTTTGATTGATCAATGTATAATCTTCTTGATCATTAACATGAATTTTTTTTCGTTGAGATATATGAAATAATCCACCAACTTCTCCATTTTCATTTGTTGAATCGATTTCTTCCGAAAATAAATTTTTATTTGTTTTATCTTCAAATAATAAAAAATAAATTTTAATAAATATTTTATTAAAAACATACTATTAGGATCATCATAAACAAGTTTTATCCAATTGATGGTTTTATTAGGAACATAACTAATTGCAAATTTTTTTGATATATTTTCTTTCCATGAATTTCCTGAAAAAGAAATTATTTAATAAAATATTAAAAATAATATAAAATCTTTACATACCGAACTCTTCTTGGTCAGATTCCTAAGATAAAAAAAAATGCAGATTTTATTGATTTATTCAATTTTACACTCACTTCATCCATATTTTCTTCTTCATCTTCCTCTTCTTGTTCATCAGTATCTTGTTTTTTTTCGTCCTCAGAGTTACCTTCATCATCTTCTGTTTCAAATTTCATTTTTCTTCGTTTTATCTCTTGTCTGCAAACAATCAAAATAGAATAATTCTAAAGTTTTTAATTGTATCTCCTTACTCATCTTCAGCTATAATTGGTTCACTATCAGCAAATAATTTCAATTGACTTGATGCTACTTTTTCTTCAATAGTTTGTTTCGTTGATAAGATATTAGCGACATATTCATTAATTGGTCTTGTCTAAAATAATATAAACATAAAAAATATTTGACATTTTTGTTTTCTTTACATATAAACAAAGTTTTTTTTTTTTTTTTTACTTTTTCATTAATATTAGAAGGTCGATGTGAATGTGAACCACCTAATTCAATGTAAACAGCATCTTTATCATAAACAATACCTCCAACACCCGAAAAAGGTGCATATAAAAGTCTTTCTTTTTCATTTAAAACACGTCGAGCTTGTTTAGTTTTTGTTGATCGATCAGCCGGTAATGAACATGGATCAGGTAATGTTGATATATTATTTAATTTATAATCTCCACAACCTAAAAAATCAATCAAATATTGAAAATTCAATAGAAATTATATGACATACTTGCCTGGTATATGAATAGGTGTATCTGATTTAATTGGACATCCACGTACATAACCATATAAACATATAGTACGATTACATAATGGATCAGTTCGAATTAATTCAGGTTCAGTAAGATCTTCCATACTAAAGAAAAAAGAACGATCGAATTCTATTTTGTCAAAATAGAAAAAAAATATTTTACCGATCAGCAACAACAAATGGATGTGTTGTTTTCCATGTTGATGGTTTAAATTTCATAACTGATATAAATCTTGCTAGATTATGAACATCACGTTGAATATATTCACCATTTTTCATACCGGACATAAGAAATAATTTTGCACCCTTAATGATAATAAATAAAAACATAAAAATAATTAAGAAAAATAAAAATTTTACTTGATAAATTTCTGTCCAAAATCGATGTTTTAATTGAGTTTTTCTTTTATTTAATTTTTTATTCATTTTTTTATATAAATCCATATGTGTTAATACACCCATAACACGTGGTAAACCATATATTTGTGCTATATTTAAAAATTCAAATGTTTCCATTTCAAAACCAAATTTAGCATCAATTAATAGTAAAACCTAATAAATTTCAATTTATTAATTATTCGTTTTTATTCAAATAAAAAATACTTTACTAGATCAGCTATTTTAGCTACATCAATCAATGAATTAATATCATTACGACATTCAATAAATGTAATACGACGTTTTCGTCCTAAATTAATAAGAATATATTATATAAAATAGTTTGTTTGATAAGCAAGAATGTACTGAGAAATGTCGAAAAGAAAAATGTCGAAAGGAAAAATGTCGAAAGCAAAATGTCGAAAGTAAAAATGTCGAAAAGTAAAAATGTCGAAAGGAAAAATGTCGAAAAGTTTGAAGACTGCAAAAGTAAGATCTTAGTAGTGTTAATGTTGTAGGGGAAAGGAAAAATGGGCGAAACTAGTTTTTTAATCAATTTACAAAAACAATAATTTAACAAAAAATATCTAATAATCAATCATTTTTTATTATTTTTGATTGTTTTATCCTTAGCAACAACATACGATAAACCCTCTAAATATTCTCCTAAATTGATTTCATCATTTGAATGTTTTCAGGTGATTGTAAATGTGAATGAATACCAACTGTTTTTATAAATGCATCCTTAGTATTTGTATGAACACCGGCATTGCAACTACGATCTTCACATTTCCAATATTTAACTGTAGCTGTTGTTTTACTAACATAATAAATGTAACTATCACGAACTAACAATGGTTTGCCTTTATTGCTTGTAATAAATGACATTGTACTTGCCATAGTATTTTATATATCGTTTTATAAGAGTACGAATGAGTGTTAAAAATACGATTCATCACAGTATTTATAAGACTAGACATTCTTGTATATACTCTTGCCATTTCTTTGATCAATTCGTCTGATAATTAGACTTTATAAGCTTAACTTCTAATCATTATAACTCTTCTCTTTTTGTTCCAGAGGAAGTGGTGATTAATTTATCCCTATCTATATTCTATGATAAAATTTTGTATTGTACATGCTATTAAGTTAATTAATAGTTGTGTCTCATGCTCTTTATTATTTTTAGTTTCCGACAATTTTCCTTTCGACATTTTTCATTTCGACATTTTAACTTTTCGACATTTTTCCTTTCGACATTTTTACTTTTCGACATTTTTCCTTTCGACATTTTTCCTTTCGACATTTTTCCTTTCGACATTTTTTTTTTCGACATTAATCAGGCATACCATAAGCAAATCTGCTTCAAACATCTAATTTTAAGGAGTAAATCGAGAAGCACTTAATGTATTATATAGTAAAGTGCAAGATGGAAAGAAAGCTTAAAAGGTAAGTCAAACTCAAATGAATGCGTTTAGCGGTTATCTTAGCGCTTAATGCAATGTTTTATCCTGATGATCTCTTTTGAACGGGTTATTAGGTACTCCGATAGGGTGGACATCCATTTTTGTGAGTATAGATGCATAGCATGTGGTATAATAACCACAAAATTCAGGGCGGTTAACTCAATTTTTGGAGAGAAATCCCTTCCCTTTCACCTTCACACTGAATAAAACAAAGGCTGAACCGAATATTGAACTTCAATGTTTTCGATTTGGTTTGTTTGCAATCAAGTCCTTCTCATTATATTAGCGAATAATTGAAAACTAATATCATTAATAGTTCGAATTTGTGGAAATGATTTTTCAACCCAACAGAAATTACTGATAAACTTCTCTCATGGTGTTTTTTTACACTCAAACGTATTCCTAGTGGGGGGCACCCCTTCCCATCTTGCGATATTTTGTTTTGTTTACTCACTGATTTACAACAATGTTCTTCGATTTTTCGAGGTTATCGATCTAATATACGCGCATATCTCCAAAATTACTAATAGATAATTAGAATTCATCACTTAAATTCGATTGAAGTACTACCTTTACATATAACTGTTTCTTTTTTTTTTTTAATTTTCTATTCTTATAATAAACAAACCTGAAACAATAGTAACGGGGCCACGAACATCAGTTAATTTTTGTCTTGTAAAATTTTTAATTAAACATTTCATTAATAAACTTTTTCCAACTTTCGCTGGACCAACAAGTGCAACAATAACTGGTGGTGGTTCAAGTGGTGTTCGATCAACTTCTGGTAAATGAATACGTTTTTCTTTAATATCTTGTGATCTATTGAGATAAAACAAAATTTTATTTAATTTGTAAAAGACTATAGGAAAATACCGTCGAAATTCTTGTTGAGCTTTGATTGGATTTTGTATACTAAATGCTTTTGGATTTCGTCGTTTAGCTTCTTCTAATGTTGATGATGATTTTGTATCTATTTGATCATTTTCTTCTTGTTTCTTCTTTTTTTTTCGTCGTTCTGCTTTAATACCTGTCGTTTGTTTTCTAAAAGCTTTATGTTTTTCATCCATCTAAAATAAAACAGAAAAAAAAAATGAATTATTCAGATTTTCGAATCGATTGAGCTATCGATGGATCATAAGGTTGTCCTTTAAAAGGTGATCCTTCGGCATTCCATGCTTGTTTCATTATTTCTTGATATTTCTATGAAAAAAATTAAATTAAAATTTCAAAGAAAAAAAAGTATTTAAAAAATGTGAACTTGTTCTTCTGATGTAGGTAAACCCATAGCTTTTTGTCTTTGATCATACATCATTTGATGAATTTTCATTTGTTCTTCTTGATTTAAATCTTCCATAGATTTTTCTGGTTGAATATGTTTAAGATTTATTTTTTTTTCATTAATTAAAAAATTTTCCCACCAACGTTCCATAGATTTTTCCATTGAAATCTATATATGAATACATTTACATATAAATATATATTGAAATAAAAATTCAATTAATTTACATGAATATATTCACCCGGTACTAAACTCCATGTTGAATCTTCAGCTCGTATTGTCCATGGTAAATCACTATCAATTAATGTTTTTAATTCATTTGATTCAATTAAATCAATTTTTATATGTTGTTTAGTTAAATTAACTTTGATTTCTTTGCCTTTTTTTATATGTTTTGGAATCTAGATGAATAATTTCTTTATACAATATAGAATTTTATTTAAGAGAAAATTTTACTTTAACTCGAACATCAATATCACTAATAGTTTGTGTCCAATAATAAAGATCACGATCAGCGCCATTGTATGTTTCAGGACGCGATTGAAAATTTTTTTGTTCTCTACGTATATCGAAATAACGATAAAGCAACAAAACAAAATTTTTTCATACATTGCTTCAGCTGAATCATCATCATTTGAAGCTTGTCGTTCATTTGAAGACATCGTTCAGGAAGAAAATTATACCTATTATTTATGAAAGGTTTTATGAGTATATATGTGAAAGTGCAAAAAAAAATGACCGCCTAATGATAAGTCTTTGTTTATTAAATTCTTGTATATTATATTGATTGACTACAGCATATTAACCAATCAGATTTTGTAAAAGTACCTCGGGAGCTTTAAAACAGTTTTCGAAATAAACACACTAACAATAAAAATAAAAATTTTTAAAAAATCTGACAAATTATTTTTATAGATTATTTTAAAAATGAGAAGAATTATTGAGTTATTAGGATGACATCTATCATGCCAGCACAACATCTTAGATGTCGTTCTGTACGAATCTGTTTTTTAGTGTAATCATATAATTCTGTGTGAATCAATAAAAACAAAATTAATTGTTAAGAAAGATAAGACAGGAAAAGTCTAGAAGATGAAAATTGTTGAATAGCATATTCATATATGTACAGAATATTTCATAAGTCTTTCGAATAACATATTATTGGATAATATCTTCTTTTGTAATAATAAAAATATAAACATGAGTGTGAAGATAAACTTTTCGTAATTGATCAACGTGACTTCTCAGTTAGTTATTGAAGAATTTTACATAAAAAGTAACGTAGTAGAAGTCAATAATAATAATGCTTATTCGATTATTCGACGCTTGTCACAATTCAATGATTACATTCTTCAACCGAACTATGTACTTGATAACCGAATTGAAATGAATAAAATATAGAAAAACGTTGTGTGCAAAGCAACATACAAAGAATAATGATTGTATTTGTAATTATTGATGAATTATTTAATAATCGAGTTTTGCCACGGACAGGTAACGATAAATTTGCTGACATATGATCAATTGAAAGGGTATAGGTAATATTTAAAGAAACGCACACAGAGAATAATTTTCAAGCTTAAAACACATAAAAACTACATTGAACAAACAATGAGCAATTAGAGATGATAATGAACTAGTTAATTATAAAAAAATGTTACGTATAGAGACGATTATATTTAATTCAGACTCTTTTTCAGTTATGAATGCATTTGATAATGTTGAAATTGACAAAAAAAGATTCAAGAATAATGGAAATTATCTAGGTAAAGAAGAAGATCGAATATATTTGAATGTTCAAATATTTGCTGTGATCTCAAATGATCTAATTTTGTTCTCAAACTTAAGTATAGTATTGAAAAAATAAAATATAATTCTACATTTTGATACAGATGACTAATCTAAAATGAGCTCAGTTTGCTCACCTTAGATATTTTTTAATTTCTTATGATGAAATTCCGTCATTTGAACTTATGTCAATAAAAATGTTGAAGAAAAGCATGATATTAATCACTTAACGTGTTTATATCCATTACATACTATGTTTTAGCCTTCCATAACATGATATTGACAAATGTATGCAACATGCACAAAAAATTAAGTGACGAGTTGTATCAATGTTTGAGCTTATCTTATTTTAAAAATTTCTAGAAGTATGAATGCTTCTATAAGATCAGTTTTTTTGTTTTATACCAGAGATGTTCATCGCGGCTCGAAATCTGCTGCTGCCGCGCCGCGGCGATAGGAAAGAAAATCTGCAGCGACGCTGCCGCGCCGCGATGAATTTCCAAAAGGTCTGCCGCTGCCGTGCCGCTGCCGCGATGATACTCGAAAAAAAGTTTCGAATTTCATTGCTGTGAATGTATTGAAATACAATTCTTGCCACTAATCGATGAGATTCATTGAGTCTTAGAGTGTTACGTTTGTGGACACTCAATTTTTGGCAAATTCATGAAGTTTTGGCAATGTCTTCTAAAAGGAGCCTGCAGCTGCCGCGATGATATTTTCAAATTTCTCCCGCGCCGCAATGATTTAAAAAAAACATGCCGCTGCCGCGCCGCTACCCGCCACCGCGGCAGCGGCAGCGGCAGCGCCGTGATGGACCTCTCTGTTTTATACACAGATAAAGAGGTCTACTTGCTAGACACAATGTTGTTTTTTTTCCGTTATGAAATAAGGTGAAACTCTACATCAAAATATAATGTGCAAAGGTCTCTGATTTGATTTATTCTACTTTCTAAGAATTGTCTTGTTGATGCACAAGAGATTTGAATTAATTTGTTCGAAATTTCTTAACACAAAAGAGTTCATTTGAAATTAGCATTCTTTATCGAAATGTAGAGCTTTCTTTAATCTATTCAAAAGCAAAATTTTAATTTGAAAATTAAACAAGACAGTGGAGCAGAATATAGTTGATAAAAGTCGATAGTGTAATCTGACTTACATGTTGGATGAAAAGTTTGCTCTAAAAAAAAACAACCATATGTTTAGAAGATGTTTCATCGCAAAATTCGAATGTGTGGAATACGAATGAATACATTAAATGCATTATTTATCGATTGTTTACATTATGATAAAAGTAGCACAATTAGCAAAACGATAACACCGATAGCTACAAGTTTCATGCAAACATTTTCAGTTTCAATATAATCATAACATCATTTTCAGAATTCTATCTATAGAAAACTTTCATTATCAATTAAAAAACTAATGAGTTTATTTTAATCGAAGTAGAAGTTCACCAATTTCACGACTATTTTTGACTTTTATAACATACTCTATTCAAAAGTAATTACTTGAATACTAAGCTCAACACATGTTCGATTGGCTTTATAAACAGATCAGTTGAATAATCGTATAGATCAGAGATATCTATCGCGATGATTGCGCTATGACAGATCTTTTAACAATCTTGTTGCAATAGTAGCAAGAATTTTTTAGATGATATTTCAAAATTCTAAGGTGTTGCATAGAATTTCAGTGTCCATGAACACCTCTGTTATGGGTACATTAGTTTAAAAAAAGACAAATTATGAAAGAAAAACAAAGAAGCTATTTTAAATGTGAATGTGAAAATGAAAATAAATCATTGATAAAATATTGTCTAGTCTAGTAAGACTTGTTGCAATCTTATTTTGTAAATACATGAATATTTAATACTGAAAATTTGCTAATGAATAATCAGTCTGACATTTTATAATTTTTTTTTCAATAGGAGAATTAAACCAGAGTTTGACATTTGAAGTATTCAAAAAAAAACATTGTTTTGAACTTGATGGTACATAAGAAGAAAGTGATTGTTCTTCTCCAGATATGACAACGAGTGACTTTATAACATATACCTGTATTACACCTTTATTGCTTTCATATACTGTTTTCATAGTAAACACTAGAAATTGAACAATGTAGTTAAATAATATTTGTAATAATCTTTCCTGTGGCGTAAGCTAAGTGTGCTTTGACACATGACTTTTTATTATACAATCAATTCAAAAAAACAAACATATATAAAGGTTATTTGAGAAATAAATGATCAACAACGAGTAAAATAAAAGTATTTTCAAGAATATGAACAGTACAAATTAATGAACGTCGCTTACAACAAGCAATATGAAATGGAATTTATTTATTCTTTAACTAAACAGAAAGAAAATTTGATAAAAGTTCATTATATTTGTTTCGTTTCTGACTAAAAATGAACAGTAATCATACGAATTATTGCTAACACAATAATGAACAATTTAAAAACAGTTGAATTAATTAGACTATGAAAGCAGTTAATCAAAGTTTTTGCATTATCGTTAGTTGTTTAGCTATTTGAAGGTTTTATCATTGTTCACTAGATTAACCTGTGACATATCCCATACGATGAAGAAACTCGATATACAAATGGAAATGAAGTAAATAATTGTTTTTTCCTTTCTTTTTATTTTTCGTTGAATTATTTTATTTATTTCTCCATGAATTGATTGTTCGATGTTCTTTATTTAGACTCACAAAAGATTGAATAAGAATGACGTTGATTTCAAATGAATTTCTTAACAATGAATGTCAATTCGAGAATGTTTTCTATGAATTTTCCTCAATGATGATTGAACTGACAACAATCATTTCGATTTACTGACATTAATGCCTATACAAAAGGAATGACAAAAGATGACAGGTTCCTAGTATGCATATGTGAAGCTAATCGTTTGATTAAATGATATTAAATTTCGAGGAAGTTTGTAACAATGATTCGTTTCAATGAATATCTTATAATATCAATCACCACTGGATATCAGATATGTAATATTGATTGAAAAACAATAAAAAAATGAAAATCGATTTCACAATAATTATTGAAGCATTGAATCTTTTTTAGATCGGTCATAAAATTACCTTGAAATGACTACTGTGAATGATAATGTAATTAGTTTTAATATATAAAAATTCTAAAGATATCAATTGAAGATTGATTTAATTTCTTTTGTTATTTCAATCATGTTCTCTGTTTTCTACCAAAGTCCTACTATTTCATTTGAAATTTTTTTTTTTTTTTTTTTTGAGTGTCTTCTTTCCTAAAAATGAAGGTTAAACTTTATTTTCATCATATATTCATTCATGTAATTTTACTTTATTCTATTTAAGCGATAGGAAAATGAATATTGAAACCTTCAATCACTTCATGCGTTATTTCCATGGTAACACATCGACTCTTAACTTATTTTGTTAGTGTCACTCATTCGTATGCATAAGAGATAATGGCTCAAGGACGTTTTACTGGTATTATTTGATAAATATGCTTAGTGTTTTTTAAACAAAGGGAAAAAAAATTTCATTCGTCTCGCTTTCGATAGGGTTGAACAGAATAAGTAGTAATTTTATTCTGTTTTTACTTTCCTTTATCAAGACGGGTCACCGTACGGTCATATTGTCGTTTTTCGTTCTTTCATACGCTGTATTTTATATTTCTAAATAACAAATAAAACGTATAGCTTGTATATGCTCATCAATACATTTTATTTTTCACATACGGTCGGTAAGTCAGTGCTACATTACCGTGTGATATGACAATTTTTTTTAATTGTGCGTATATAAAAATTTCTAGAAATTCGACAATTGATCATATAAAATAGTTGTGAAAGATAGAAAAGTTTTACAGATGTTATGTGCTCATATTTTATTGATAATAATCATTGTAGAAAAACAAACGTAAATTTTTTTTTTCGATAACTCGTCACCAAGAATATGAATAATGTCTTTAGTTTGGCTTGAAAGTCATTTTTTCTAAGGGGCAAAGAAATTTTATTTATATTTTGGGATTTTTGAAAATAAGTCGCTATTGAAAAAAAAAGCATTAATTGAAAAGAGCCATGTTCAGAGAGCTTTTACTCATAAGCATCTGAATTAGGCATGTTTGATTTATGATTTCGTTTTAAACACCCTTGATGAATATCATGTTAGTCACTATCGGCACTACATTTTCTTTTCTTTTTCTACACACATCAAGCCATGGTTGTCAAGTTCAAGATAGGTAAAGTGTCTTTTGCGTTCTCTAATATATGCACATAGACGATATTTGTCCATGACAGAGTACAACAGTAGAAGAAAGAGAGACAGTGTACATTATATGCGCTTGAAGTTTCGCTTTTTCTACGTTGTCGTACAGAACAAAAAAATCGTAAGGCTCAAGAAATGCATACACTGTAATATTCGTATAAACTCGAGGGCAATGTCTTTCTTCATAATTAAAATAAAACCCCAAATATTTAGTAAACTTTAATTACTATGAACATCTAAATGCATATTATAGAGTATTAAGTTTCTTTTTTTGTGTATTTAAACAGAATATTTTGTGTATAATATAACATTTTCTATTAGACGATTTTTGTTAATCGTTTTCTTTTTAAGTTGACCTTGAAATTTATACGTTCATCTATAAAAAAAAAAAAAAAGAGTATGATTAAATGCTCTTATTGAATGTAAAAAGAATCATTCAACTGATGTATATACAGCTATTAAAAGTATACCTGGTTCATTTTTACTAAAGTCACATCTTCAAACTGGTCGCTCTCTGTTACACACACGACAATGCGTGACGGCAAGGGCACAGTGGTTAAAGTGAAAATTTTTCGTATATCTTCTGTCAAAACTATTTAATTCTATTCGAAATAATTTTTTTTTAAAAGTTAGGAATCCAAAGGAGATTCTTTATACCGTTTGAATTAGAAATTCGTTCTGTTTTTGAGAGATTTTTCAAATTATTTATATAATTTATTTCATTATTTTGTGAAATAAAATCAAATTGTAGTATCTTATAATACTTTCAAGAGAATGTGAAATGTTACAAAGAGCAGATCTAAGATCCTAGGGTTCTGGTAAATTTTGATAGTTCCAGACAAATTATGATGAATTCTTCTATTATTATCGCCTACCTGGATCGGCACTCGCTGGCTTCATCTTAGATCATAGTAGAAATTTGTAATTTTTACTGTATTATGCCGACTTCAATAGACTATTCTGTATGCATACAAAAACCGTCCTAGAATCTATCAAGATCTGCTTGCCTTTCTTGCCTTCAGCTTTTTAAAAAAATAGAAATTCTTTTGTTAACCATAAAAATTATTTTAATGACAAATGCATAAACATAAATTGAAATTAATTTCAATTTGTCGTAAATTAAAATTATTTTTCCCATAAACATTTATCATATATCTATTTTAGATTAACTAGTGTGACAACAACGTCATGACTTCAAAAACTCCCCAATTCGCTCTATACAAAGCATTTGTAGATGCCTTTATGAAAGGTCATCCTGGCATGACTAAATATGTAAATACTTTATTTAAACATATAGTTTTGTTTTGTTTTTTTGTTTCCTCAATAAAAAATTTCATTTCATAGGCCTGTCATTACAATGCACAATTAGAATGGAACAAAATGAAAAATAACGAAGATTTAATTAAGAAGAGCATTGAAAAATATCTTGAAGTTATCGAAAACTCTAATAAAAATGAAACTAAAGTACAACCAACTATTAACAATGAAATAACACAAGAGAAAACAACAATAAATGAACGAAAACGAAGATTATCATCCGATGATGAATATGAACCATATGAACTAAATGTGGAATCTGAAATTGTTGAACCTGTTGAACCAACATTTACTTTGCGTGATTCTTCTAAGCCAACTGAATTTAATGATATTAACAAACCATGGGTTTTTCGTTCATTTGAAAGAGCTAAAGCTCGAGTTGACGCACGTGTTGCTAAAATACAAGCACGACGTCTTGCTAGTGAAAGTCGAATAAAAACACCTGCACAAGAAGCTGTTATTCAAGAAATAAAAGAAATATCAGAACGTATTGCAAGTTTAGTTCAAGTTAAAAATATGGGTTTATCAACATCAGATTCGAATAATACATTAAAAAAATTACTTCAACAAAAAAGAGAACGTTCTGCTGAACTTAGTCGTTTACAATCGAAACAACGTTCATCATTACGTTATCGTGAAAGAAAAAAACGTTCTATTGAATCGATATGTGATGCTGATCCTGAAGTTGCTGCTGCACTTTTAAAACTTTATAGACCAACAACACTTCGTGTACAAATTGATAATGTTTGTCCTGATTTAATACAAACAATTGAAGAAATTGCTCGTATTGGTGGAGCAGCTGATGCAAATCCTAGATTAGTTAATATTCAACCATGTGTATCATTAGATGAATTAAGAGGAAAAATAAAAGAACGTGGTTTTGAAATTCGACGATCATCTAATTTTTATCGGTAAAATAACGCAATAAGTCTTTTGTTTTTTTGAAAATAATTAACATGTCATTAATATATTCTTAGTCTTATACCTTCTGGTACTTTTACTGAAGATGGAAAAAGACATGTAAATTCAAAAGCTGTTCGTCTTCGAAAACTTCAAGGCATTGAACTACCAAAACATGAAGGTTATTAAACAAAACTTAAACTAAAAGCATTTTCTTTATGACAATAATTTTTATTTTATTTTTTGATTATTATTATTATTTAGATTATCATTTTGTGAATGCATCTTTACAACATATCAAAGATTTAGCTGGTACTTTTGGTAATGAATGTGTATTCTATGTTATTGAAGATAGAAAAGCTTCTGTTCGAATTGGTCGACCATCGGCAAGAGGACATTCACCTTTTATCCTACATTTAGATTATCAAATAAGTACAACTAATTCCACACCAATACCACCTAGTATCACTCATCAACTTAAACCAACGTATGTTTTATTTTCGAAAAAAAAAGTATTTCTTTATTTCATTTAAACTTATTATTTTCTAGAGTTTATGCATCATGTGTTATTGATGATGCTGGTCTTGTTAGTTTTGCAGGTCCAACATATATATCAATTCGATCAGCTAAGCATGATCGATTTACAGTTGATTATGAAGATATTGATTTGGATTGTATTGTTAAATTAAAAGAATTTGAAAGCACAGCTCGTAATCATATTGGAAGTATTAAACCAATTATTATTATGAATATAGATAGTCTTGAACCTGCAGATTATACACGTTTTCCAAAGACACTTGTGTCAGCAATTAATAAATTTAAAAGATATAATTTGGATGCTTTATTTATTATAACTCAAGCACCAGGTCAAACAGTTAATAATGTTGTTGAACGACGTTTAGCAGCGTTATCACAAGATTTAACTGGCTTAGTTCTACCACATGATTATTTTGGTACACATTTAAATGTTAGCGGTTTAACAGTTGATGCTGAAATAGAAAAAGAAAATTTTAAAGCAACCGGTGAAGTTCTTGCTGAAATTTGGAGTATGGATATGATTGATCGTAATCCAGTTGTTGCACAATATATTGATCCACCAGCATCATCTGATGATATGATCAGATTAATTGATACAAAATCTACAATAGATATGATTATTGATGAGTAAGACTTTTTAGATTAATTAAATATGCAAAAAAATCAAAACTATTTTATCTTTTAAATGTTAGAATTTGTGATGAAGAAGAAGAAATTCCTCTTCATCTACGTGTTAAACATATGCAATCGGTTCCATATTCATCAAATACAGATACAAAACCAAAACCTATTTATAATATTGATGAGTATATATCGATTTGATACAGATTTAGTTTGATATAATCTCTGCGATTTTTTTTTATCTATTATTTTCAGATATTGGTGTGCAACACATGTTTTTCAAACTCAATATACAATTCAAATAATTCGTTGTACTAAAACTGAATGTTGTGGTCCATGGCGTTCAAATTATATTCAAGTATTTCCTCATCGTTTTCTTCCGCCACCTGTACCATTTAATCGTTCATCAGGTGGTGTTCGATTAGCTGAACTTGAATCATCATATGCTAATATAAATTCTCTATCGCCATATTATGGAACATTATTTCAACGTATACAATTTCATGGTATTGTTATATATGGAACAAATAATTCACTTCTACCATTTGATTCATTTTGTCCATCAATACAATCGAAACTTCAATCCCGTATATGTTCGATTTGTAAACAATATATTCCATCAGCAACTCGTTTACGTAATCATTATAAAGTTCATCAACAACGTTATGCATCAAATTGTATTGATTATAAATTTAGTAAAGATGAAGAATTAATTGATGAACCTGATCCAATTGATCCAAATGATGTGCAATTATATCAAATAAATCCATCTCAAAGTGGTGTTTTTCTTTTTTCGAATATGATTGAATGGTTAAAACCCGAGTTTGAAGATGATCCTGTTGTTGAACCAAAATCAAAAACAACAGCTTCTATGGCTAATGCTATGATTCGAAAAGAACGACAATTACAAGAAGCTGCTGCTGCTGCTATTGGTGTTAGTTCTATTACTATTGGACAACCAAAACTTGTTGAATCAGTTGCAACAATATCTGTTGACGATGCATTAACATCTACAAATGAAAATACATGTTTATCTGAAATTAAAATTGAAAGTGAAACAATAACTATAGTTGATGTTAAAACAGATGACGAAAATGTAAATGTAATAAATACGATGGAAAAATTAACTGTAACTGATGATGAAACAAATTTATCTAGTATTCAACGTCAAAATTCACTTAATCAATATGATGATCTTAGTGATCTTATTGATAAAATTTGATTTTTAAAAATTTTAATTAGACATTTGTTTTTGTTTCTCTTAGTGGGAATGACTACTGTGTGGTATTATAATGTTACGTTTGTTTTGTTTTATTATATTTGACAAAACAAGAAGAAAAAAAAAAATCTAAACTTAGAATAATAAAAAGAACAAACAAGCAATACGTCATTGAAATTTTAATATAAAAACAAAGAGAAATTTTTCAATTATATTTAAGATTCATCAAAACATGCACATTGTCTTCTGGTACATCGATCATATAAATCAGGTTTATAACATTTGAATAAAATTGTCCATATACGTTCAACAGTATGACCAAATATTGGATTATCTGGTGTGGATTTAAAGAAAAAAGAACGTAAATCACGATGAAGCCAATGTGAACTATTAGCCTTTAAATAAAAAAAAAATATAAATAATAACAAAAAAAAAAAAAACATAATGAACCTACAGTAATAAGATCATAAAGATATTTATAGATTTTTAAAGGTCGATTTTGTATTCGTTTACCACTTACAAGAAATTGACCTCGAAAAGCAACCTAAATATGTGTTTTTTTTTTTTTTTTTAAATTTTATTTTGATTTCATTGATCAATACAATAGCTGCTTAATTGAACTTACTGCTTGTCCACCTGGTGGACACAAACTTTGTTCAAGCATCGCCCATAATTGAGCCATTCTTGGAAAATTACCCGTCCTATGTAAACCACAATCATAATTCGTTATCATACTATTAGTAATAAGTGGCATATATCCAACTGATGAATTAAATTGTTTCTCTAATCGATCTAAATACCAATCAGCTAAACCTCTATTAGTAATACCTTCAACACCAGCTTGTGAAAAAAGTGTATGATTAGCAATAATATGATAATTATTAATAATATGATAAAGATACGTTGCACCTTCTCTTCCTAAATTAGGCAATGATTGAATAATATCTGCTTCTAGAAGTAATTTTAAAATTTCATTATTAATATCAGGATTTTTATTATAGACAATAACACGAGGATTAAGTTTTTGTATAGTTGAAACATTTTTTAAATAACGAATATATTGTACAACAAAGTCAATATCTTCAGAGTAATAACTTATAACAATATCAAATTGATTTTGTGATAGAATTGGATCATTATAAGAATTTAATTCGTTTGATTTTGAATATAAAATTTTTGAATATTGTTTTGAAAGTTTAAATCCACTGTGCCATTTATGAAGATTTATAATAATATCAATCAAGATAAGCATTAGGCAAGTAATGATTACAATAATTTGTTTAATATTAATTTTAAACCATAGATTCGATATAATTGATCGAGTTTTTATTCTCATTTCTTAATGAATTATATAGAAAAAAAAATCAAAAAATATAAAAAGAAAATCTAATTAATATCTTTGATTTCCTTACTTATTCTTATAAAATACCTAAGAACAACTGAAAGAAAACAAGGTTTTTTTCGCTCTGATAAATAAAAAAAAAAGGAAGAAGCTGATGGGTAGTATCGATGTGTAAACGATACTATCAAAATGAATGAAAAATAAAAGAATTTAGTATGTAGACTGTCACTAATACAAAAAATAACATGTCAAAAAAAACAACATGATAAATTTTTATATGACATAGGTCTTTTTTAAAGATCATTAATAAGGAAAACGACTAGTTTTGCTCGATTATAGTTATTCAAAAAAATGTCATGAAAAGTACTGTTCATAACTTGAAAGACAATTGAAGAATAGAAGAATTCATCATATAAAAAGAAGAGATACTTAGATCTAACTAAAAGTTCTGAGATTGTTAAATAAAAGTATAAAGATAAGGAGATATTTTCAATGTTATTTCATCAAAGTTTCACGATACTTATTATGATTATTTATAGCAAGTTCAATCTTTTCTAATAATTTATTAAAAATTTTTTTGAACTCTTTTTTGAAAAAAAATTTTTAATAATCTTGGAAACTGCACGAGCACATCATATTTCATTTATTTAATCAGTTTAATGTCTTTGGATAGAATTATTTAACCAAATATTATGTAGTACTAGGCCCGACGAATACGACAGAAGTTACATTATATTGATGCCTTTTTCTCTCAAATAATTAATAGCATCGAATAAATATTAAGTCAACGATGATCGTTAAATAAGTTTACTCATTTTGAGTCTGATATCCCTGTTTGCTTCCATATTTCATTAACAAAAGGCTTTAGACAATTTTCAATATAATACTTATGACCTACAGTCTCTTGCCACTATCTAGACTATGTATGGAAACAGGACCATTTGACTTAAACAATATTTAAAGCCAAGTTTTAGTTCAAACCTGTCTCTATGAGCAACAGTCTTTTGTGACTCATCTTCATTAATGCAGCTATCATCACATGACTTACTACCAACCCGTCTAAAATAAACCTATATCTTATCACTTTTAGTACTGAAACTCAACTGACACGATCTATGCTAAATTTTAAGACAAATTCTTGAAATTGACCAGCCAAATGAAATATGATGTGTTCATGCGGTGTCTAAGGTAGCTAAAATGTTTTTCGAAAAAGAGTTCAAAAAAAGAATTTTAATAAATTATTAAAAAGGATTTAACTTGCTATAAATAATCAAAACAACTATCATAAAATTTTGATGAAATAAACTGAAAATATCTCCTTATATTTATACTTTTATTTAACGATCTCAGAACTTTTGGTCAAACCTAAGTAGACACCGTAGGAAAAAGTCTATGCGAAGAAAATAGGAACGACGGATAGAAACATGAAAAATAAAAAGATGTAACGTAAGATAAAAACGGAGAAAAGATTCTTTTTCTAGTCATGGATTATAACGTGCTCTTTCTCATCTTGACGAGAACGGAAGAGAACGCATCGATCTTTTTAAATATTTGGTCTATAAATGTACTTTCTCATAAAATCTTTCTTTATTAACATTGAAAAATTCTTTTTTATTTTCTCTAATAGTCCGTATTTAAGAGTGATGTTAAATTTAAGAATAAATAATAAAAGTCTTCAATTTTATTGATACTTTATTAGTTACATTGATTTAGTTAAAAAATCAAATTGTTGTGAATTATTTCAAAAGAACATGCAATCCACAAATTTTGTATTAAAGCATGTGAGTTTATTGATTTTTCATAAGAGCAAAAATATCATTACTAATAGATTTTATGAGAACAGTTAGCTGTTATGTATTCTTATAATAAACCATATAGATATGATCACAGTTTATTTTTTTATTTCAGATATTTTATGAATCATTTGCATATGAAAACAGAAAGTAATCGTCCAGAGAATAAATATATATTTTCTGACATCTTTATTCAAAGTCAAGTACTATGATATAAATTCTTTTGACAAGAATGCGTTCTTTTGATTAAAAAAACTGACAGAAATAAAACGTTATCTGTCAGATATTCATTAAATTTTAAATATTTCATTATGTTTCAAAAATAAGCAAGAATGATAGTTGAGCAACGATAAAAAGACAAGTGAAAATGAATACATCATCATCGATGTTTTTTGAAAATAGTGCTCGATATTAAAATATTCATTCTTCCACTAATCAAATATTGAGAAGAAAGTCTTCAATCAATGTCTAACATGACGGATACACTATCTAATTTTTCCTGTTAAATTGAGTAAAAATATAACAGTTTTCCTTTTGTTCAATGCAGAGTTCAGTTGTTTCGGTAAAAAATCTCATTGAGTTTCAATCATTTATATCTCTTCATACTATTTTATTCAGAACAACAACTAGAGTTGATAAATGACAATAAAATATAGATAATGGTTAATACAATTTTAATATTAAGAAACGTAGGCCACCTCACCTAAAGATTCAAGTATATCATGAATTGGTTCGTTGTAAAATTGATTCTAGTAGTCGCTTTTTCAAAGAATCCGAATCATCACAGAGAAAATCGCTGAAAAAAAAACATACAAAAAGTATACAGATGCTTGTCAGCAATCTGTCGCAATTCGTATTGCAAGTGTTTTCAACAAAAGTAATCAGTATTCCAAATAGGAGTCAATGAACTCCATCGATTCCATTTCCATTCGACTGATTCCAATCATCTATTATTGAGGAAACGATAATTTTCCCTTTACTATTCAATATTTGTATTAAAATCCATTGCAGTTTGCTCCACAATCGATTCAAACAAAATCAATGGCGTCTCCATAGAGAATTCGACTAGTTCTGTCGATGCTATATATAATTGAACGAACCTGAATCATACACATTTATGAGAAAACTCGTATTTAATCTGTCACTACTATAACGTTTACAGAGAGAACTCTATTGGGTTATTTGTTTTAGTGAATAGATGAAAGAAAGATCGCTGTTTCTTTTTCTCTGTTGATACATACACGTATATACGGAAAGCTCAAAGAAAACTTATTGCATGGTTTGTTGTAGTCAAAGAGCATAAGAGAATCACCGTCTTGCCGTCGTACCCTTCGCATATGATGTTTAAAGTAGGAAAAGAAAAAAGATTCCATTGGTTTATATATTTCAGTCGATAAAAATTAGAGAAAGAAAAAGAGATTACTTCGTTGCTGAGGAAAGTGACATGTTTATAATCGTGTATTTAACCATAGGAAAGAAAAAACTTTGTTCTAAGTCATTGTTTTCTTTTTTATCAGCATGCATAAGATGGTGTTTATTCCTATCGGACAAGAGCACTCGATCAATTTGAAGTATCTAAAAGTGTTGGATTTGAAAAATAATTACAAATATTCAAAGAGTAATTAGAGATTTTCTCATTTATTGATTAGTAGAATCGGGATGGTGATCGATTGAATCGATAAAGTTGGTCGAGTTCTATCTAGGATCATGAAGCGTTTTCTATTTGGAGTCTTTTACGTATAGCGAACTTTCAGATATTCTAATAAAGTTAATAGAGAATTACGGACCAACTAGATATGATCAATGAACAAAATTGAACAAGTGATCTATGGAATCGATAGAGCTTATCATATCCTTTCGGCAGGAATCGTAGCAATCTATGTGTTGAAATCAGAGTAACAACTAGAATGATCTTGTAGAAAAAAAATCAGAATATTGTAGAACCTGTTTTATTATTTCTGTATAAGATCAACTGTTCATATAAATGGATAGAATAATGCTAAATTTATGATACTTACTCCTAGAAAAGTTACTAACGCCACATATATTTCTTAATATCAATTCTTAAAAATTTATTTTTAACAAAATAACACAGAATATATTAAATTTAACTGTAAACATCATCCTCACCTTTTTGCTTTTCATTGATATCTTCCAGCATTTGCATCGTTTTGAATTCAATTTTTTAAAATTACCATCAAGTTCTGTTGAACTTGATCTATTTTGTTTACTTAATATTGTCTCTTGTATCTATAATATTTAAAGATAGTTTTAGTAAAATACTGAGTACAACTTTCAAAATTGTCATGTATCCAAGAAGGAAAAGTAAGATTTGAGTAGTCCGAAATATGAGTGAATTACAATTGAAGTATGAATGCAATTTGATACTTCATTTTTATTTGCGAATATTGAAGTCTCACTTTTATCATCGCTCATAAATCTCTTTGAACATTACATATACGTTAATCTGTTCAAGACATTTCTCATAATTACAGTTTAGTTCATAGCAATTGACTTAATTAATGACAACGCGCTTTAAATTACGAAATAAGAATTGCATCAGGAGAGAGCTTAAGACTTAAAGAAGTATATAGAAATTTTTAAAAAATCAAAAAAATTTGAAAGTTGCACTCATTAGTTTGTTCATGTTATGTTTAGTTTTAAAAATGATAGAGATAACATTTGTTGAACAATATTGATAAATTTATAAAAAAATTTCACAATTTAAAAAATTTGGTTGAAAACGATGAAAATATTAGATACTGACGCAAAGTGAGAAGTGCCTTTCTCTATAGTCCATCTGACACCAATAGCAAATGCCAATATAAAACAAAGTAGTTTGAAACTTCAATGAGTTGCAAAATGATAAAAACTACTTTAAACACGTTTTACGAAACAATACAAAAAATAATAAATAGTTGAAATAAATATAATATGAACATTCTATATTTCTTTCTTGGTGGAAAATATTCTATAATTACTTTTATAAAAACCTTCAAATTAGATTAAATGTTATAGTACAGAACGCGCCATAATCGTGTAGACATAGTTCTATGGTAATAGATAGCAAAATATCAGAACAAAATCAGAATTTTTAGTCGAAAGTAAGAAAATTAG